ACTTGATTAAAGTTGGTAGAGATTCTACGGCGTGACATGCGGCGGCGCTCACCGATAGAGAGGAAAACTAAGGGCAATAAAAAACTGAGGACAATGGGGGAGAAAGGAGAGAATGATAACTTGGAAACATTAAAAATGAACCCTTGAGCACTATTTATAAAACTTACGCGAAAGACAAAGCATCGCGTCAGATAACGTGTCAACTATTCGTTTCTCCGCCGCCCACGCGCTCAGAGTCATAATGAACCCTACTCCCTAGGCCATCATTCTACCCTAAAAGTTATGTCACATGGCCTACAAAATAACCATCCTGCGAACTTTCGTCTCCCCGCGAGGCGAGGAGCATGTGAATTCTCTCTGTAAACACACTCTGATTTCCATTCGAGTAGCCACATATAAAGACGACCACGTCCCTCGACGTGATATGGGACCCTGGTGAATCCATGCTCGCCATACGTGCAAGTTGGTCTTAAGTCATATCTCCTCTCCTCAGGAGCAACGACTTGGGGGGCTCCTGTTCCGGACTGGGCTGTCACTTGGCCCAAACATCATACAAGGTCCAATCCAACTATGCTGCATAAGAGGACTAGTAGGAGCGAGTCTGTCCTTGACCATGTAAGGAAGTTATTCCACTCTACTCGTCGACCAAGATATGTCCTTCGAGGACATCCTCACCACATAACTATCGAGGAGGACCAACGACATTCTGGAGGTCCTCGCGAGCACCCTCCTCGTAGGACAGACATCCAACACCTCTGAATATCACGGTGTCCTCTTGACTCCGAAAAGATCGCATCCACGTTCCCTTGATAGTTCAGAGCAGTCCATTCAGGTTGGAGACCATGTGCTGGCCTCCACTACACACGTATGACCTGACCGTCTCCATTTTGGGTCTGCTTGGTAAGCCCAACATGAGGACCTTGGCCAGCGCTAGAGGATATAGATACTCTCTCACTTGAGAGGGTCAAGTATTCATTTATTCACTTTCACTATTATACTTGCACTCTGATTGCTCTCATTCTTACTTTGGCATTGGAGTACTTTGTAGGTACATTCCCCTCCACTTCACTCAACAACTGACGTTCAATTCAAACTTGTGGACCAACAATGATTCCTCTTGATCAGATACGATCAAATTTTAAAGGTAAAATTTAACATAGTACATGTTCTCTATGTGCGTATTTTAAAATTTTTACTTTAAAAATACTATAAGGAAAATGAAAATTTTTATACTTATTAAATTCTCTATGTGCTTGAATGTTTGTTACATGTTAGAAGATAACGTCTATATAGATGATTTAATTTTGGTTGGTACAAGATTGACAATTATTAGTCTATTACTTTTCACTCTATGCATGCATTAGACCTTCAACTTGTATTTCATGTAACACTATTATAGAAAAGATTAGTATTAATTGCGAAATTAGTTAAAGTAATTAATTATTATTTAACGATTATTTCAATGTAATTTTTAACTTTGTTTTTTATTAATACGAAGCCAAAATTTTACTGATAAAACACTAACACTTAACAAATTGATTAGTAAGTTGAATAGAAGAAAGAGTGTTTTTAATTTTATATATACAAGTATCCAAGTTGTATATGTTTGTACTTGTTTTAATTAGAGCAGCCCAATTTGAAAACGTGAATCATATAGCACCAAAATGAATCGTTTCCAAACAAGTGGACTATAATCTAGTTCTCCTCTGCCCCATTTCAAATCAGTGTGCTTTGCAGTATTATTGCCATTGTTAGAGACCCACAAATAGTGCAAATTGATAGATAAGAAAGTGTCTTCAGTTTTATGGTAGTGATTTTTATTTTGAGTGAGTGAAAAATTCTATTTAGGGAATTAATTGTGTAAAATCAATTTTAATCATACGTAAGTCAAATAATAATTTATGTGTTTAATTGTTATATATTGTTATTTACACTATTAATGTGACACAGCCACTCAATTTTAAAACTTAAAAAATATTAAAATAAAAACTAAATATTTCCAAAAAAAATTGTGATTATCTGAAAGTGTAAAATTTTGTTATACAATCAATGTATTTCAATTAAATTCAAAATTTATTTATGTTTAAATATACCAACCATTTCTTCTATGTCAAGACAATAATATCAACTCTCCGCCAAAGCTTTGACAACAATAATGTAGTATCGTCAAGCTGGTTTAGTTCTTTACTTTGGACGGTATTCGATTTGATTTTCAAGTCATTTATGATTTTGTTTGCTTTGTTGATACATGCGTATTTGTTTTTGAGTTTTTCGATTTGATATCGTTTGCGATGTTGATTGTTTTGTATTTCTAGTGTTGTATCAGGTTTGTAATAATATTGTAAACATATAAATGTGTGTGTTGTGTTGTTATGTGCGTTTGTATATCATGTCGAAATAGGAATGGACTCTTAAATTGTATTAGAACGTCGATTTTGTGTTGGTATAATCTTGTTTATGCATGGTTGTTGTTTTTTTTTGCCGTAGCGCAACTTCGCAAACTTTTTCACAAAGAACATGTTTATTTATCCTATCGCATTACAAATAAATGCTAAGCCTCACATGCAGAGCAAACAAGCAATGTTTAACCGCTAGAATGCGATTAGACATTGTTCATTAAAATCAACCAACACACATATTTTTCTATCAAGAATTACGTAGCCTTGACTTCCCCGTCGCACTGGGGATACGTAGGAGCGAGATTCAACGTCTCGTCAAATACTATTTAAAAAAAATCCAAAAATATTTTTTTTCTATGAACTATGTAGTCTTGAGTTCCTCATCGCACCACGTAGGAGCAAGACCCAACATCACAAAATATGAATAAAACTAAAGTACAAAGTAATAAAATTGCAACAAAACAATAACCCACAATGCATAAAGGAAAAACTTACCACAATGCAAGAGAGAGACCAAGAAATGTACAATGAAAGATTAACAATGAACTACGAACCCAGAAAGTTAACGTATCATACTTTCAAGAGGAGGAAGAGACATGAAAATGAATGAAGATGGTGAAGATTGGACGTTCAAAGAAATGAATGAAGATTTCGTTATCGATGTCGTCTGGTTCGTTAGGACATGTGTTATGAACGAAATAAAAGAAACTGGTACGTTTAATTTTGTAGAAAATAATTTCACAATGGTTGTTTGAATTAACCATAGTGAAATATGGCAAATATAGCCATGGTTGATTAAAACAATCATAGTTAAAAGTTTTCAATTTTTATTTAATAATACATATTAAGGGATAAGCGTTTTTCTATTGAAAAAAGGGAAAAATATTGATGCTGAGATTTGGAGCTTATAACCCTAAATCTATGGTTGTTGTTGAAATTAAGAACCGTGATGAAAAATCTTTTAATAAAAAAATTAGACACATTAAAAATGAGATATTATTACGGTTGACAAAACGACTGTAGTTATATTATATTATCAAAGGTATATTTTATAATAGTGTTGTTATCAGAAAATGTTACATAATAATGACTTATGATAGAACTTTCCTCATAAAATCCTACCTAAAGATGACTTATTTCAGTGCTTCATGTTAAAGTACTATCTAATATGCTTTTAGTAGAAAGTGTTGTCTAATGATGTTTTATGTTAGTGCTTAAATTAAAAAGTGTTGTCTAAAGAGAATTTATATTAGAGCTTTTAATAGAAAATGATGTCTAAAATGTATTTAAACCAATACATTCACATTTTAAAAAAATAATGTCTATATATATATAGTAGCATCAGAATAGACCGTGCTTGAAAGCACGGTTTAAGTAAAAAAAAATAAAAAAAATTTATAGTCTTCTTTGACATAGTGAAAGAAGAGTATCATTATCGATAATATATATGGTAACTTTTATAAATGCACTTTTATTTTCTATATTTTTTAATAAAACCAGGAATATTTATTAAGCGCTTAAAATTTGAATGTTTAACAAAAGTTTTTATATAAAGCGCTGTTAAATTATTTTAGAATAAAACTCAAAAGTTAATGGCGATGTTTTTTTCTAAAAGCACTTTAATTTTACTACCTACAACACTACAGCCTTGTAAATACGCTCTCGTTTTATCAAAATTTGTAAGAGTGCTTTAAGCGCTATAAAAGAATTAAAAATGCTTTTGAAGTTGAAATTTGACGTAGTGTATGTCTCTATGTGCATATTTTAACATTCTTAATTTGAAAATATATTATAAGGAAAATGAGATTTTTTATACTTATACTATAGTACATGTTTTACTTTATTTTATTGTTGAGGATAAAGTATTTATTTTAGTCTTTTGATTTTCAAGAAAAAGAACTTCCATAACTCTCAGTTTTAATTATTGCAAGTATGAATAAACTAAAACAAAAAAGTTATAAGTGATTAAACATAAACTTACTATTTAACTATAAGTTATAAGTGATTAAATAGATGTTAAGCATAAACTTGCTCAGATTCTATTTATCAATGTCTTTAAATAGATGTTATTAAACATAAACTTAATATTTAATTATAAATAGATGTTATTAAATATAAACTTACTATTTAATTATAAGTTATTAAATATTTGCAGTCAATTTTTATCGCATTCACGCAGTCACATTCTTATCAATCATCAGATATTAATCTTATAGTTCAGAATGATCAGACTTATTTTTATTTTATAATTTTAAAATGGTCACTTTTAAATCAAAATTATCAGATCATAATCAAACGGCCAAAAATACTTGAATTGAAAAACTAAAAAGCTTCTGTCATTTATTCCACCAAACAATTACATGATTCTTTTGGATGAATATACCAAACTAAAGTGCAGAACATAGGCTTATTTCAAGCACATACTTAATTCAAATTACAAGTACTAGTACAACAATAACGAAGTTTTATTTCACTAAGTGAGATGGTATATGTAATTTAAATTACAATATATAGAAATACATAATTGAATTTTTTTTAATAACATAATTGACACTCTAAAAAAACATTCTGAAACCTCAGACTCGATTAATTCAAATTTCTTCATTGCGAAGTTTGTTGACACTCCATGAAGTTGTAAACTTTATTGACACCCCTTACAATAAGACGCGCAGTTAAAATAAAAGCAAGAATTCCAACAAGCGATACCCAAACAATAATAGCAATACCTAACACACCGAAGTGAGATTGCCAAATGACGTCTGGTGTGACCATAAAAACAGCAAACATGTAGGTAAGAGCAAAGGTTGTGAGAATGACACACATTCCAACTGATAAAAGCCATAATATAAATGTTTTTGTTATAGGAATTCCACTAACAAGCAAGAGAAGAACACTCAGTGATGAAATGAAACAAATTGTATTGCTTATCAAAAATGCTAGATAATCACCACTTTTTGAAGTAGCCAAGATAGATTCTCCAACGCATATAACACCTCCGGTCGTATACGAACAAAATGTATCGTTTATGGAAACAGGAATATCCTTGACACCTGCTTGCACGACGCCACCGGGTGGATTAGTGGCGAGTGAAAATGTTATAGTTGCGATTATAGAAACTGCTATACCCATGCTAGCTTTCATATCTTTTATCCTTCTTTCTCTATCTCCGAATTCAAACCACCTTGCTGCACGCTCAAAGAACTTCTTAACACTAGAGTTCTCAGGATTCTCTTGATGAATATTCATACTCATTATATTGATTTGATTGTTGATTAGCAATATCAATTCACTAACCTTGCTTGAATGTTTGTTACATGTTAGAAGATAACGTATATATAGATGATTTAATTTTGGTTGGTATAAGATTGACTATTGTTTTGGATTGGGTATGCCCTTAGTCCAACTTTATGTGAGGTCCAATTTAATTATGTCGTTCAAGGCATGTTTCCACCTCATTCTCAGATTCTGTTCGGAGTAAGCTGTGACAGTCCATTCTAATTAGGTACAATCAGTGGCGCCGTTTGTGGGAACCTTGTTTCCCTGTGTTCCATTCACACAAGACTAAAGTTAATTTCATTCATCTGACTGTCATGGATGATCAAACAGCAGAAAATAACATGAATGTCCGTCTCGCCGACGCCGACAATAATGTCGCCGACAATAACGCCGACGTCAACAACACTGGTCTTGTTGGCCATAACGCTGCTCCCACTGGCCTCAACGTCGGTAACGATATCAACGCCGATCACGCCGGCATACCCGGTCTATTAGAGTACAAAGACGGGCTGACTTCCTCATTGTCATCACTGTCCAGATGACTCGAAGACGATCGGCCACCTCCTCAGAACTACCAACCCAACCAGTTCCAGGAAGTCCCCGTTCCCGCTAGAGCAGATGCCACGACCAGGGCACTGTTCACGGCGATAAACCAAACGAATTATCTCATCTTCTCTCAAGGAGAGAGATTGAGGGCGCTCGAAGATGCTCAGAGAGCCCCCAGAAAGCATAGAAGGCCTCACTCTCCTCCTCCTCGTCAGATAGATGAGCATCCCCAATCTCCCACGCGGAGACGCAGGCAGGACGCCTCTCGAAGCCCCTCTCCCCGACCAATCGGGCGACGCTCCGCGTTGGAGAGGGACCAGCCCGTAGATACGGGAAGACGCGATCACATCTCCTTGCGTCAAGAGCAAAGACCCCCTGAAAACAGGATTAGGGGAAATAACAAACGACCACACCGCCCGAAGAATGCTCCGCGCAACCAGGGCCACCATCATAACCACCACTACAACAGATCTCCTTCTCGCTCGCCAGATAGGAGTGATGAAGAGGACCCCCGTGGTCCCTTGTCACAAGCTACTATGGAGGCACTCATCTCCCCGAGCATGGAGAAGCCTCCCCATCTAAAGGAGTACGATGGTATTGTCGATCCAGTCGACCATATAGACGGGTTCGAGGCAATACTGCATTATCATAACTTTGAGGGACCAATCAAATGCCGGTTATTTCCCACGACTTTGAGGAAAGCTGCGATGGATTGGTATAAGAGTCTCGCCCCGGGGTCAATCACCTCCTGGCGAAATTTAAAGAACCAGTTCATCAGTTCATTTACTACTTCACGTCGACATCCAAAGACTGAAACAACCCTTGAGGCTATCATCCAAAGACACGACGAGACCCTCAGGGAATTTATTGATCGGTTCAACCGGGAGGTCATCCAGGTCCCCTGCACCGATCATATGAAGAGATACCTGCTCGAGAGGGGACTCCTCCTGGGCACGGAGTTCAGAAAAGTCGTTGGTATCGAACCACCATGGACACTCGATGCCCTCCTCGAGAAAGTCAGATCCTATATGGACTATGAGGAGAGGGGAGCGGCCAACAAATCCCGGAACCCCGGGAATCATGGATCAACCAGCAATCTGCGACAACAAGACTCCGACCCTCCTCGACGAACTAGCGAGAAAATGAGGGATGACAAACCCCGAGATCCTCGCGAGAAAGTAGGACCCTCGGGGCGGTTTACCAAGTACACTCCGCTGAGGGATTTCCGCGAGCGCATCTTTGCGGAGTGTGCTAACACTCATTTCAAGGACGGTGGTGTCAAGCGTCCTCGCTCCGCTCTTGCTAAGCCCGAGGCTGATCGGAGCAAATACTGCCAATATCATCGAAGTCATTGACACTTGACTGAAAACTGTGTCCATATCAAAGATGTTATTTAGACCCTCATCAAAGGGGGAAAACTCGGGCAATATCAGTGCAGCGACGGCCCTCGTTGAGATACTCGCGACACAAAGGAGATTGAAGAGGATGCCCAACCATCAGAAGAGACGGTCCCCATCCAGACACCATTCTCCGTTACAAGACCAGAGGACTTCTATGTCCTCGAAGATATTGAAGAACCTCTGACCACACACAGTAGGTGGGAAAGGTTCCCCTCCGCCATGGCCATAAATGGTGGGGTATTCAACGATATAACCATAAACTCTGCGAAGAGGAAGTTGGACAAGCTGGTCGACGTGACCCCCCTCCCCCCCGTGCGCCGCGTAAACGGTGACTTTCGAGAGGGTTAAGGGCAGATCAGATCCGATCACCTTCTACCTCAAAGAATTTCCCAAAGGGGCCTCAAACTCAGTTATCCCTCTTCTGGTTAGGGCGAGAATGGCTAACTTTGACATTCATCGCGTTTTGGTTGATGAAGGGAGTTTCGTTGACGTGATGTACACTCAACTCTTTCAAACCCTGCAGCTCGACGACTCCCACCTCTCACCATACGTGGGGTCCGACCTGCAGGGCTTCAACGGATCGACCTTTAAGCCTTGGGGGTACGTGGAAGTCATGGTCACCTTCAGCGAGGATACCGCCACCAGGCAAGTCAAGGTGCACTTCCTGGTCATTAATTTCCCGTCTCTCTACAATTGCATCCTAGGGAGACCGACACTAGTAGAGTTGACCGTTGTACCCTCCACCGTCCATTTGAAGATGATGTTCTACACAAAGAGGGGACACGTCGCCACCATCCAGGGAGACCTAGTAGCTGCACGAAGATGCTTCAATGCGGCAGCCAAGGGAAAAAGCACGGTCGACACTATAGCACGACCTGCCAAGAGAGCCGATACGACACGACCAGAGCCACAGAAACCAGAGCAACTGCCCGTCAAGACAGAAGAACAGAGGGCTCCCCCAAAGGTCGACTCAATCTCATTGGACACCCGTTTCGACCAATATAAGGCGGCCAACAGCGAGCAGGGTCTCCTCCAACCAATTTTGGATGGAGACTTCGAGCTCGTTCCTCTCAGTGAAGACCTGAACAAAGGGGTGAAGATCGGCACCAGACTCCCCGACCTGACAAGGAAGAAGATCAAGGCTTGCTTAAGGGAGAATGTAGACCTGTTCGTATGGAGTGATGCGGAGATGCCCGGCCTCAACCCCGAGATCGCCTGTCACAACCTCGCCATTGATCCAGCCATTAGGGAAACAGTACAACATAAGCGTAGGTAGTCCCCCGAGAAAACGAAGGCTGCTGAAAAATCTGTAAAAGACCTCCTAGAGGAAAATTTTATATCTGAAGCCCGCTATTCAAACTGGCTGTCAAATGTTGTACTTGTTAAAAAGAATAATGGAAAATGGCGTATGTGTGTTGACTATACCGATCTTAACCGGGCATGCCCCAAAGATGCATTCCATTTGCCTAATATTGACATGTTAGTCGACAACTCGGCCGGCTATAAAATTTTATATTTCATGGACGCCTATTCGGGCTATAACCAAATCCCAATGGAAATGAGCGAAAAACCCTGCACTGCTTTCATGACCAGCTCGGGAAATTATTACTACAACGTAATGCCCTTCGGACTGAAAAATGCAGGGGCAACATATCAACAGATGATGAACAAAGTCTTCCGCAATGAGATCAGAGACATGCTCGAGGTATACATGGACGACATGATCATTAAATCTTGAGTAGATACCGACCATGCTACTCATCTCTGAAAAGTCTTTGCCCAAGCAAGGTAATGTAGAATGAGGTTCAACCCCGAGAAATGCACCTTCGGGATTAAGGCAGGCAAGTTCCTCAATTTTTACCTAACAGAACGAGGAATCAAAGCCAACCCCGATAAGTGTCAGGCGTTCTCCAATCTCCCTACACCTAATTAAAAAAATCCATACAAGTCCTGAACGGCATGCTCGCCTCACCCTCCCGTTTCATCGTGAAATCCGTTTAACACGCCCTTCCATTTTTCAAATTCCTGCACAAAGAGGCGGCTTTTGAGTGGACCGAGGAATGCGAGCAAGCCCTCCTCCATCTCAAGCAGAGCCTTTCGCAGCCGCCCGTACTATCACGATCATTAGACGGGGAGATATTATTCTTGTATCTGGTCTTCTCCGTCAAGACCGTCAGTGCGGCCCTCATTCGCGAGACTCCTGACAGTCAAAAACCCGTGTACTTCATGAGAAAAGCGCTTCAGGGACCTGAGGTTAAATACCAATAGATAAAGAAGGTTGCCTTGGCCCTAGTCAACACGACGAGAAGGCTCAGGAATTATTTTCTTGCACACACGATCGTCGTACAGACAGACCAGCCCGTGAGACAACTCTTAGGCTGACCAGACATGGCAGGTCGAATGCTAAAGTGGTCCTTGGAGTTTTCGGAACTCGACATCCAGTACGAAAGTAGGAAGGCCCTAAATTCCCAACCCTTGGCCGACTTCGTCGCGGAGATGACCGCTCACAACCCCCCTGCAAGGAAGGAGCACAAGTGGACCATCTTTGTGGAAGGAGCCTCCAACTCGACAGGGAGTGGAGTAGGAATTCTCCTCGAAAACGAGGAAGGTCTCGTGATCGAACACTCTCTTACTCTCTCCTTTCCAACCTCGAACAATCAGGCGGAATACGAGGCTTTGCTCGCAGGGTTAAGGCTAGCCGAAGATCTTGGCGCGCGAAAAATACACATTTTTACTGATTCCCAGCTTGTAGCATCTCAAGTTCAAGGGGGATACCAGGCTAAGAACAACAACCTCATTGAGTATTTGAACTTGGTCAGAGAACATATGAAAAAGTTTGAACGAGCAAAAATTACACACGTACCACGCGAACAAAACACACGAGCCGACATAATTTAAAATCTCGCGAGTGCAAAGAAGAAGGGCAGAAACAAATCAGTCATACAAGAGTCCCTATCTCGCCGAGCATTAAAAGGTCCACGACTCTACTCGAAGTGAATACCATTAGGAATAGCTCATACTGGA